TCTGTGCTGACAGCTCAGGGCCTGGAGCCTGCTTCAGATTCTGGGTCTCCCTCTCTCTCTGCCCCACCCCCACTTGCACTCTGTCTCTCAAAATGAATAAATATTAAAAAAATTTTTTTAAATAAATATTTTAAAAATAAAAAAAAACCAGACCGTAGTTAGAAGATATGATGCTTAAAACAAATTAGTATTCAGGAATTGTTCATTTTTACCCTATTAGCATACCAGTGGGTAAGTCACTGGGATGGTTTCTCATGAAGCTTATGTAAGAACCACATATTTGACCTGCGGGCATTTTCTTTTTTTTAAAGATTATATTGTTTATACCTGTTTTAAAGCATCTGCTTTTTATAAAGCCAAATACCAATGGCTTTTCTCTGACACCTTAAAAAAATATGTCATAGCAGTTAAGTACATTTTCATGATTCTACTTAGAACCTGATGAGCTTTTAGGATGATAAATATGCATGATTTCTCCAGAGCGGAGCGGATGCGTGGGGCCATTAGTCCCTGCAGCCTGATTCACATTTGCTGGAGGCAAGTCGATCTCCCTGCAAGTTCAATGACTCATCCAGGGTGGCATGCAACTTCAGTCTCATTAGCACCTCATTCTCACTGTCCCAGGTCAGTAACACGGCTTAGTTGAGAAATAAGCGGGTTTTCAGGCATGTGCTTGGGAAGAGGAGAGGTGGAGGGGGAAGGGAGAAAGGGAGAAGGAACAGAAGAAACCTGGATTGGGCTTCTGGTATGTGCCAGCCGGCTAGGGACTTTACATTCATGACCTCACCTAATAGTTAGAACAGCCCTGCGAGATGCCCTTGCCTTATGGAGGAGGACCTTGGGACTGTCTAGGTTAAGTGACTCACCCAAGGCCCCACGCGGTGAGTAGCGGGACAGAGATACAAACCCAAGTTCATCTGGCTCCAAAGCCTTCCTCTGTCCGTTACATTACATGGCTAATTCATAAGCCATTTAGCATCATGACCTGTCCTGATGTTGGTCCCCACTAGACTATAAGCTCCTCAAAGCAAGTAACTTGCCTGTCTTCACCCTCATATCCCTAGCACTAACTTGGTGCCTAACCCACAGGATCTCAAAACATAAATGTATGAATGAATGAATGAAAAAAAAACCCCACAGACTGCCAGAGCAGAAGGGCTCTAATCCAACCACCTCACTTTTTAGACCGGGAAACCAAGGCTCAGAGAGATTAAGTCACTTGCCCTAGATTAAGCAACTCTTTAGTAAAAGATTCAGAACCCAAGTTCAAGTATCTTCTGTATTCCCCCTTACAAGATGCTGCCACTTGGGACAGGTTTGGAAGCATGTTCGTCAGCTCCACATGGTTTCCTAAGCATTCTCCCCCTCCTAATTTCGTCCCTTAATCCCAAACTGTTCCTTACACATGCGAATGTGTAAGGGAGGTTAGGAATGCCACGAGCCCACTAGAATGAAAGCTTCGCCGGGACAGGAAATTTTGCCTGGCTTGTTCACTTCAACATGACTGGCGCTTAGAAGGTGCTCAGTAAATATTTGCTGAATAAATATTCTTTCCTTTCCAGCGATGAGCAAATTCTTCATAGATGACAGATGTTAGCACAGATTCTATTAACACTCGGTGATCAACCATTTCAGCAAAACTGCTTGATGAAATGGCACTCCTCTTATATATAGTCTTCGTCTATAAAATGGGGGAAATAATGGCATTTATTCCAGAGGACTGGTGTAAGGATAAAAAGAGTTAATACAGACAAGCACTTAGCATGGCGCTTCATATGCCGTTAACTCTCACTAAATGATAGCTATTGGTATGTATGTGATTTCCTCAAACCCCTTAAATAAGGGTCCACATAATGAGGCGATGCAATAAGCCAAAGTTGTTTTATGCTGCACACCTTGTAAAATGTCCCTGAATGCACAGTTCTCTACATGCTTCCAAGTTTGTAAATTCTGTAAGGGCTCTAGGTTACAGACAGCATCTGGCATGTCACAGATGCTCACGTGGATGTTTTTCCTAGAATTTTTCTTCTGTAATTAATGAAGGCAGAGAGGACATAACTAACCTTGAGATGAACATATAATGATTCTTTCCCAAGTTCTGCTATATTTAACATTCAAAAAAGAGTACCTCTCCACGAGTTCTTGTCCATTCCAGCAAAGAGTGTCGTTTTCAGCCACAGGACTGTGGCTGCAGACGTAGCCAGGCAAAGCACTATAGAAGCTGATGAAAGATTTCAACTTCTGAATTAGTTCCCTGAAAGAAAAAGAAAACATCTGTGCATAAGAGGCAAGTAAACCCAGTATGAGAAAAGTTTAATTTCCTTATCAGCATGACAGAAAGGCTCTGCCAGGCTGATTAGAGCCATAAATGATTTTAAAAGACATTCTAGGCTACAAGGCCACAATTTAGTTTAAAAAAAAAATCAATAAAATGATATTAGGGGAAAAAAAAAGTTGTTTGCCATATAAGGTGCCTCTCCTATCAGAAGGATGATTTAATTCCAACGTTCATTTTCTAGCACGTTCAGCTTCCATTGTTTGTTCAGAATGCTGTTACCTACATTCTCAAAGGTGCTGATTACAAAGCACACTGGAGCACTACATATCTTTCGGTTTCTGGGTGTAATTGAGTGCATTGATTGTAATTTACAATGCTATTACCCTAGAGATGGCCCCTTTCCATGCAGGCTCGGGCTAACAGTTGCAGATCACAATTGCAGGGTGCTCAGAGCACTGTAGGCGCTATGAAATTCTCCTGACAATATAGTCAGAGAAACTCACATCTGCTAGAGGAGGAAGGTTTCTTTGTTCTTTGTGTGTATATTGTGGTGCCCATGGGTGTGGGGGGGAGATAGGAGGGAGTGAATCCTAGTATGTTTTATTTATTTGCTTTGGCTTTTATTTCACATATAAGACAAATTGTGTGTGTGTGTGTGTGTGTGTGTGTGAGAGAGAGAGAGAGAGAGAGAGAGAGAGAGAGAGAGAGAGACAGGGAGGAGGAGGAGAGAGTGAGCACATTATATATGCAAATATGTATCAATACACATACTCATATTACCCAGCAAAATTTCTGGCCTATTATTTTGTTTCAGATGTACAGGGACACACAAAATAAGGCGCTACAGACTGGAGAGAAGTGGATATGTTTATAAAGAAATATTAAAATATCTATACAATAGATGTCCGATGGTAAACAAACAAAAATAAAATACTCCTTATTTTTCTAAAGCAGTGTTGTTGGTAGAAAGGAAGTTAAAGCATTCTTCGTAATCAAGGCTATCTTAAGTCTCTACTAAGTTTTTGGAGGCTCTGGCCAGGGAATTTGCTGGCAGTGGAGTAATTATTCAATACTGTCTCCAGGCTAAGAATGGACTGGCCTGATATATAGGCCTCTGGAGGAGCCAGAGGCCTGAATCTCATTTGGACACTGGTGGGAGTCCTGAGCCCAGAAATGCCTTCTGGGGCTTGTTCTCTGATCTCGCCAAAAGAGGAAGACTGGTGGAAATTATTTTCTTGCATTTTTCCACTTTGCTACTATAAAACGATTCATTTCAACTGATGATTTGGAAGAGAGAGCATGCTTATAATACTCAGCACATCTTCACAAAGGCTAGGGGCACGGTAAAGCCAGGGTGATGGAAAGAACAGTGCGAGAAAGGGTACTGGGATATATAAAACTTCTGATACCCCAACAGTTGCCTCCTGCTATGCTCAAACCCCCTCGCAGCCTACTTCTGGGCACTGAGTTCCATCACCTTCCAAAGTGAAGAGGCTCAATACAGGGCTCTGAAAATAAAAGTCAACATTATAGTTTCTAACAGGAAAAAGATGGGTTCAATTAACGCTAATAGGAGAGATGCTCTGTTTTACAAGGTAATAATACAGTTCCTAAGAGTGGAAACAGAAAGACTAAAGGCTGTGGCTGAGTAATTCCCCCCACTCCATGAGGAAATGGAATATGGTCATTAGTCTGGGGTGGGGGGCGGGTGATGGCCTGCTCTTTAACGAAAGAGTTTCCCTTAGGCCTCCTCCTACCTCCAAACTCTCTCTGAGATAGCACATGGGAAGAAAAATTGAATTCATGGCAAAGCCTTCCAATTTAACTTCCCTAGAAGTTTAAAAAAAAAAAAAAGGCTCTGAGCTTGTCCCCGCCCCTGAAACCTTACAGTTTCCCTGGATGATCATAAAGGTCACTGGCAAGTTGGAGAAGATTCACAGAGGGTCTGCCTAAATGTCAAGAGGATAAGGGGCGGCCATAAACATAAGACCTCCCACTTTCGTATGGAAGGATATTACTCGGTGGGGTCGAGATAAATGTCTACGAAAACCGCAAAGAATGTGAATAATGTGAACACAGTCTGGGTCATCAAATTCTAGAACTCAGGGGAATCTCTTTGAAACTTGAGCAAGGTAACTTGGGGACATAAAAGGCCATCCCATGTCATAGAGTACTCGTTACTGCCACAGGACACGCAGGATGGACCTAGGAAGAGATTGTGTTTTAAAAACTTGCTTGTGACTTAGTTATTTTGAATTTAGAGCACAGTTTCATTTAGTGACCGTGCTATAATGCTGGTTGTATTCTCAGAGCTATCCTGTAAAACCTGTTAGGAGTGGCAGGTAAGAGCACTGATTTTGGAGTCTGGCCCACATGAGTGTCGAATGCCAGCTACTCCCTTACTTACTTAGCAGTGAGACGTTAAGCAGATTCTAAATTCCTCTGGGGCTTAGTTTCCTTAATTGTAAAATGAAGCTAATGACGGGCTGCTATGATGACTACTTGGGACAATGCATGTAAAGGGTGTAGCATAGGACCTGGCACAAAGTAATCCCCCCATAACGTTAATTGCTGCCAATATTACCATTACTATAAGCCTATAGAATATAAATATTTAATGAAATACATATTATATTCCAGAAAGTATGCAAGGTAACTAAGATATTTTTCGCCTTCCAGATAACTATTTTATTTTATATGCACAAGATGAATAAATCCTTCATCTTTTGAGGTGGTTATTAATAAGCACAACCATGTTCTCTCCCCAAATATTTTTCCTGGGATTCTTCTTCAATGACCAACTGGCTATTGGGCTGGGTAAACCCCTGGACTAATCTGGGATAGCAGTTTGAATGGTCTTTGCCTGGTAAGATGAAGTCAAGTTAAACATCAATTAAGCCTCAGGCAATGCAAATCAAAGCCACAGTGAGATATCACTTCACACCCACTAGGATGACTACATTAAAAAGGACAATAAAATAAAATAAAATAAAATAAAATAAAAAGGAACACAAGTGCTGGTGAAGATGTGGAGAAATTGGAACCCTCATATCGTGGTTGGGAATGCAAAATGGTGCCGCTGCTGTGGAAAACAGTTTGGTGGCTCCTCACAAAGTCAAGTACAGGAGTTACCATATGACCCAGCAATTCCGCTCCTAGGCGTATACCCCAAAGAACTACAAATGAGTGCTCAAAGAAGTACATGTATATGCATGCTTACAGCAGTACTATTAGCGACAGCCAAAAGGCAGAACAAGACAGAGGTCCATCAACCGATGAATGGAGAAACAAATACACAGTCCATACAATGGAATATTATTTGGCTTTCAAGAGGAATAAAGTATTCATATATGCTGCAACATGGGGGAACCTTGAAAACATTATGCTAATAAGTGCAATAAGCCAATCATGGAAGACCACCTATTATAGGATTCCATTTACATGAAATGTCTAGCATAGGCAAATCTATAGAGACAGAAGGTAGATTAGTGGTTGCTTCTTAGGGTTGGTGTGGGGAGATGAGGAGGGTTGAAGAATGATAGCTAAAGGGCATGGGACTTCTTTTTGAGGTGATGAAAATGTTTTAAAGTTGATTGTGGATTGTGGTGAGGGTTGTACAACTCTGTGACTATACTAAAAACAGTTGAATTATATACTTTATTTTCTTTTTTAATTTTTTTTATAATTTTTTTAACATTTATTTATTTTTGAGACAGAGAGCATGAATGGGGGAGGGGCAGAGACAGAAGGAGACACAGAATCAGAAGCAGGCTCCAGGCTCTGAGCCATCAGCCCAGAGCCTGACGCGGGGCTCGAACTCACGGACCGCGAGATCGTGACCTGAGCTGAAGTCGGACGCTCAACCGACTGAGCCACCCAAGCGCCCCTGAATTATATACTTTAAATGGATGAACTGTATGTTATCCCAGCTTTATTGAGATATAACCCCCCAAAAAGGGTTGAGAAGAGGTGAGCTACATCTCAGAGGAAGAGAGGCTTGTCTCCTAGGAGGAGCAATGCCCATTGGGGCAATGGAAGGAGCCAGATGTGCACGGGCATGAACTAAGAGCATGAGTGAGGAGGGAGAAAAGAAATTTGCAGGAGCTGTAAACAATGGTTAAAATCTATTTCTTCCTTCATTTTTAAAAATAAGGCCTGTTGGTGGGGTACCTGGGTGGCTCAGTCGGTTAAGCATCTAACTCTTTTTTTTTTTAATTTTTATTTATTCTTGAGAGAGAGAGAGAGAGAGAGAGAGAGAGAGAGAGTGGGGGAGGGGCAGAGAGAGAGAGAGAGAATGAGAGGGAGAAGGAGAAGGAGACACAGAATCCGAAGCAGGCTCCAGGTTCTGAGCTGTGAGAGTTCTGAGCTGGGACAGAGCCCAAGCAGGGCTCAAACCCACGAACCGTGAGATCATGACCTGAGTCGAAGTGAGATGCTTAACTGACTGAGCCACCCAGGCACCCCTGCATCTAACTCTTGGTTTCAGCTCAGGTCATGATCTCACCGTTCATGAGTTCGAGCCCCGTGTCGGGCTCTGCGCTGACAGTGCGGAGCCTGCTTGGGATTCTCTCTGTCCTCTCTCTTTGCCCCTCCCCCACTCTCTCTCTGAAAATAAATAAACATTAAAAAAATAAGGTCTATTGGTTTTCTTTCTCATTGTAAAAGACATATATGCTCACTATGGAGAATTTAGAAAATACAGAAAGATAAAAGGAAAAAAAAATCCTATTCGTAGTCTCACCAGCCACAGATAATCACTACTAATATTTGGATGTATTTCCTTCTAGACTTGTCTCTCCAGTAAAGTTTCATGCTTTTTTTTTTCCTAAAACTGTTCTCTTTTTTAAAAAAAAAAATTAAGATTATTTATTTTGAGAGAGAAGGAGAGAGCATGAGCAGGGGAGGGGCTGAGAGAGAGAGAAAGACAGAATCCCAAGCAGGCTCCATGCTGCCAGTGCAGAGTACGACATGGGGCT